TGTGAGCATCCTCCTGCCTAACCCTGTAGGAGGCAACCCACACTTAACGGAGCCATCTTTACTGGCAAAACCATTGGTAGTGGTCAGGCAGATTTTTGAGACTTTTTGGTCCAATTAGTACCGCTTAGGTTCGTTAAATCAGAACTCCTTCCTAGTTCATTTCTGGAATGAACTGTCTACTCCTCTTTGAAAACCAGTGAGGACATAGGTGAGCTAAGAATCGTCAGCTCCGAAATACCAGGCACTTCCGCGGTCCCACTGCAAAGCAGGCCCGACCCACCAACTGAAGTATTTTTTATCCAGCTCACTCTTTCCAGGTATCAGGGGATGAGGTCCCATTGCCTTGTACCTCCCTAATCTTGTTTTTAGTAAATTCCTTGGACTAATACAGTCCTATCCCATACTTCTGTTGTCTTTGCTCAGATTACAGAGCCAAGCCCCCCCCCCCCACTCCTTGGGGTATACTTCCTATTTTGACCCAATTGTTTGGAGCCAGCCAGGATTTCTACACCCCAGGTTAGGTTTGATTTTCCGGACTAATGCCCCATTCCTCTTTTCTCCCAACTTTGCCACAACTAATACCATAGCGATACAGTTTCTAGCTCATTTCTAGAAGCTTATGCTGACAGGAACATGTTCATAAAATTTTTTTACAAAGTTTATCTGAGAATATTGAGAATATCTTAATCACACTCTATATATAAATGATGGACTTGTTTTAATAAGCAGTTAAAGGTAACATAATCATAAAAATATTACAGAATAGTAAGTTTAACTTGGATTCCTAGTCTTTCTTTTCACAGGGAGATGATAAAAGTTATTGAGTCTTTAGATAATTGCTTGCTGGCCAAAAGTTTCAGGATTGCTAATCTGCTACCCTCCACCACTTCCTTCCTTCTTTTCTTTCTTTATTGTCTCCTGTTTTCTGTCTTCGTATGTGTGTTGCTGAGTACTTGCAGAACTCCTGCAAATGAATTCTTTGTTAACCTATCCACATGTATCATGGGTATTTTTAATGTCAATAAGTATACTACTTCACCATCATTTTAAATGCCTGCTTAATTGTATGTATAACTATGCCCATGATTTATTTAACTAATCTTCTAATACAGGCCATTCTCATTCTTTTCCAACTTTTTTGGTGTTACGAGTCATGGTGGTCGATAACCTTGTTAAGATCTAAGCAACTGCTGCCCAGTTATTTCCTGTTTGTTCATCCACGTATTTGCCTCCTCAAAGAATTCTTGTAAGTCTGGATTTTTCCTTTTAGAAGTACATTGCCCAGCACAGTTATGCAATTAAGTTTAGCAATTTTGCTATAGTAGGTGAGCATAGTGCTTCAAAACTTGGATTGTAAAATCAGCCTACCTGAGTTTGAATCCCAGCTCTGCCATTTGCTTGCTGTGTGACCTTAGGCAAGATATTTAATCTCTCTGTACTTCGATTTCTTCTCCTATGTATGATATGAGTATAATAATAGTGCTTATCTCATAGGCTTGCTGTAATAATTAAGGAAATGATGTGTGCAAATGACATAGAAATGTATCTAACATTCAGTGCATGCTCATTCCTATTGGCTACTGTTAATGATAACAAGCTTGCTGTGTCTTTTTACTCATGCTGTTAAACATAAGTTTCCTTCTTTGGCAAGGAATATAAGGGGAGTACAGTGGTCTCAAGGGGGTAAAGCACATTTTAGGAAATATGATCAATTCCAATTATGTGGCCAGTTATAAAAATGTATAATATGATGGAGTTACTGAACTAGGCCACAGGCTGTCAGAGATATCTCATTAGCAGTCAACTTGATGGAGATACGTATAGTCACAAAACATCTAACATTCACCCACCATCAGCCAGGTCGTGTGTTCAGACACTTAGATGATCTGTGTTTCTTGTCCATGTGGGCTAGAACTGAATAGTACACTTTTATTTTTCCCTTTCCCCTAGGATTCTTTTTTCTTCCTTCTTTTCTCCTAGTGACTGAAGTGTTTTTTTTGTGTTTTTTTTTTTCACTTGGGCTTTTCCTAAAGAATAGACATTATTGTACTCACATGACCTCTTGTACTCACTTTGACTCCTTCTGTAAACAGTTCTCCACTGTCCAACAGGGTTTTTGGCAGCTAGGAGACCCCTCAGTGGGAGCAAGGGACTAGGTATGAACTTGGGAACTATTTTGGGAGATAGGAAAATGTGAGGAATTTGGGGTTATTCGTTCACTCTTGAGTACTAGAGGAGTACATCAAAAACATCTAAATTAAGCACTTTTTCTGCGTTTTAATTATTAGACCGAGTTCTTTCTTGATAAGAAAACAAATCCAACAATAAATCAAATGGATGAAGGGAAGACCAGGCATTTTTCTTATCTCCCTGTTCTCAAGTGCCGAGAGCAAAACTGCATGTCAGAAGGCCTGATCTTTCCTTCTTAGTTACATGCCAGACTAATTGAGTCACAGAAAGGGTAAAGCAATCCTATTCTTTTACTTAGGCAGAAGTTCTTGCCATTTCCTTGGATCATGTCCCTGGTCCTCCTTGTACCCTATACCATTACTGGGTGGGACAAGAACCTTGATGGACTAGCCAAAGCCCATTTTTGAAGGGCTTGAAGTGTCTGCAAGTGGTCACTCAGCTAATCAGTGGGCTTGTATCTTACAGTGCTTTCTGGTGACACTACTTCAGCCTTCCATCAGAGAAGGTTTCCTACAATACGTACTTTATGATCAAATTCTACAGAAGTTATTTTCTAAAGGGAAAGCAAGAAGGAAGGATTCACCATTACTTCCATCCCAACATCATCGGTTAGAAATTTTACAGACGCTGGAAACCACAAAGTGCTTTTGCTCCAGAGAATAGGTGTATCCTAGAACTCATGGTGATTTTCAAAATTTCTGCTAAGTATTCAGGGAAAAGACAAGTGAATAAACATTACTATTTTTTTTGAAACCTTAGTAAGTATTGTAGATCCAGGCCTCCTCAGGGGTCACAGAGGAAAGTAACAACTGTGAATGCCACCTCAGTGTCCATGATGAGAGGAACAGGATATCTATACTTTGGAATATTATATAGCCATTAGAAGTGAAACAGCTGTACTGAACATATACTGATGTGGAAGATTATCTGTGGTAAATTCTTTAGAAAAGTAATAGTGTAGAATACTATTCAGAGTGTGATTTCATTTTTGTAAAAACAAAATATATATATATAAATGAACATATAGGTATGTGCTTCATTAAGAACTAGAAGAACCTATTTTGACTGTTAACAGTGGATTACCAGAGTTTACTCTTAGTAGCAAGAGTAAAGAAAATAGGAGTGGTCTCAGGAGAGTGGGGAGAGTTTTTACTGTTTAATGTATTCACATCTTAGCTTTGGGCAGTGGCAGGATTGTAGCCAATGAGGTTTATTCAAGGCGTGACATTGGTAATTTATTTGCATCTGTATTGTTTGGAACTTTGTTCAGAAACATGTATTTTTATAATATTTTATACAAATGTGTAAAAATCTCTGTATCAGAAATAAGTCCTTCTGTGTATCTGGTGATTTGAAGCTCTGTTGCACAAGGAAACACAACATCCATCAGCAAATAATGCAAATGACAAGTATACATCCACCTGAAGAAACTCCTTAAAAACTACAATACAAATTGTCTCACACGTGTAAACATTAGCTGTCACGTGTCACAGATGACAGGAAGAGATAAGAATGAAATCCAAGGCTGCTCTGTGATAGAAATCATTGCATGTTATCTGAGTGGGTTGATATTAACAGTGGAAGGCAGATGTGTACAGTTTTAAAAGTACTGTTTTAAAAGTACAGTTTTAAAAGATGCTGGAAGTATGCAAGTATTTTCATGATATGATGTGCTGCTACTGCATTAGGTACATAGCATCTTAGATACTGGTTGCCATCCTTACATCTTGCTTATTAAGAGTTCCATCTCAAGATAGAGGAGAATAATTTCCATGGCAACTGGAATTAATTGATTAATTAATTAATTAATATATTAATGTTTATATTGAGAACCTAATATGGGTTGGGGGGGGGCACAAAGACGAATGAGAGCCAAGAATTGCCTCCTGAAACTTGCAAAGTACTAGGGAGCTAAGGTGTGTGCACAAGACTCCAGAATGCAGTGGGGGCACAGGATGTTACAAACTAAACTAGTAGTTCGGAATAGAGTAGTTGGATGGTCCCTCCAAAGGGAGGTTGTTTTGTTTTCTATCTTTGTTTTGTTTTAGAATAGAAAAAAACCACGAAAATCATGGTAAGCAGAGAGGAAAGAGTCAGTATAGAAGGCAGGTAAGCCCTAGAAGAAGCAGAAAGTGAGCCCAGGGGAGAGGTTGGCCTTGAGAGGAAGGATGGATGTTATCCAAAATACATAAAAGCAGGAGAAGGGCCTGAGTGCTGAGGCAGAGACAGTTTGAGGTGAAGGAGAAGGAAACCAAAGGAGTCCTCTTGACCTTCTCAGTCTGGTGAGAGGCAACTTTGTCAACAGGGAGCGAAAGGGTAGTGGCAGGCTGCGAGCTTCTAGGAAGATTTGGAATAGCCACTGTGAAAAATAAAAGTCGATCTGAAATGATTAAAAAGATAGTGGAGCACCATCAAGGTGCCCACTGAGGCTAAGTAGCATGAATTTTTAATGAAGCTAATTTAAAAAATTATTTTTCATTTCTTTCTCTAGCAATATGGCAGCCAGATACAAGGGTATAAAAATTCAGCTTGGCTGGAATGGATGGATTGTAGAAATCAAACGATTCGTATATTGAGCACTGCATATGAAAATTCATTGGAAATTAGTCAAATAATTGCATCATTACAAATTCTGCTTTGTCAATCTGTTTCTTTCCCCTTAATTTTTAAAGTCGAATCAGATAATTATAGATCTGTAAAGAGACAGGAAAAATATCCTGTACTTTGACATGTTAACCAACCAGGTAATGCCATCAGAATTTCTGAAGTTTCTAGCTGACAGTTGTTTCTCATACATTATGTATTTTTAGGCTGGAAAAGTTAATAACATCCTTTTTAGAAGACCAGGATCCAGAGAGTAGACTAGAGGTTGGCGCCGATATGCGTAAAATTCATCACTGTTTTCATCATTTAAAGGTAAATTTAAATGTTTCCTCTAGTAGAAGCCATTTTCTGCCATGTTCAAGCTGTAATAAAAGCTTTTCTAGTTGGCCAACCCCTGAAAAGTTAGGACCCAGCATCACAGGTTCAGAAAATGGTACGATCTTCGAACCAGTGGTGTGCTTGTCATTGAGTTTCTTCAGAGGTCATATCTTACGTGCCAATAAAAATGCTCAGACCAAGGACCCCTTTTGCCAGGAATCTCTACCTTTGACACAGTATAGTTCCATATGCAAAGAACCATTTATTTCCACGCTATATCAGGAGAATGATGTCCAGTATTTTTTTTAGCAGTTTTGATTTATTCATGTAATCCCTCAGTTTTTCTCTGCCTTAGGTTTTTGTTTGTTTGTTTGTTTTTTGAGACAGAGTCTTGTTTTGTTGCCCAGGCTAGAGTGATTGCTGTGGCGTCAGCCTAGCTCACAGCAACCTCAAACTCCTGGGCTCAAGCAATCCTGCTGCCTCGGCCTCCCGAGTAGTTGGGACTACAGGCATGTGCCACCATGCCCAGCTAATTTTTTCTATATATATATATATATTAGTTGGCCAATTAATTTCTTTCTATTTATATTAGAGACAGGGTCTCGCTCTTGCTCGAGCTGGTTTTGAACTCCTGACCTCGAGCAATCCGCCCGCCTCCGCCTCCCAGAGTGCTAGGATACAAGCGTGAGCCACCGCGCCTGGCCTCTGCCTTAGGTTTTACCCTTCATGATGAGAGAGTGGGAATAGCATCAACTTTTCCTTATCTCACTTCTATATTTGCATATTTTTATTAAGATAATAAACATTCATTGTGAGTTACCATGGGCCAGACCTAGATAGGGCAAGGTAGGATAAGTGAGTCATGGAGAAGACAGACACAGACATGTAAAGAATAATTATAATACATGATAAATGCGGCAATAAAAATGTGAATTAAGTGGTATGGTGTATGGAGAAAGGGAAAGGAGACCAAGAGGAGAGAGTGGTTGAGTAGGAATTTCCCAATTTAGGGAAAGAGAGATAAGATAAGGGAGAGAGGAATGAGGAAGGAGAAGGGGGAAGAAGGCAGGTGGAGGGGAGAGGACATGTCAGGTAAATAAAAGCTACTGCATTTTGAAGACAGGGAGGCAGAAAAGGTTATGCATGCCTGATGCATGCAGGGAATTGTTAAAGGAAAAAGAATCAAAGAAACAAAGAAATTTGGAATAGAGGTATAGGCACTATAAGCTCTTATTTCATCCTACAGAAACTATTGAATGACAAGAAGATCCTTGGAAATGATACGGTCTCCTCTGAAAGCAAAGATCAAGACTGCCAAGAACCATTAAAAGAGGAAGAGTATAAAAAGCTACGAGATATTCTAAAGCAGAGAGACAATGAAATCAGTATCCTTTCTGAAAGGACGAGAAGCTTTCCCTGTACTGGCTTGACAGGGGGAGTGTAAACAGGTGGGTGTGTTCCCCCAGGCACATCACTGAGCTCCCCCCACCCTGCTTCTAATTTCATAGTGCTGCTTTCCATGGAGAAGGAAAAGGTCCCTTCAGCAAACAAAATGTAGCAACCAGTGAAAACCAGAATTGCTATAAAAGAAAAAAATTTTACTTGTTTTGAGCCTGATAGAGTTACTCTTGCAGAGAACATTTCAGTTTATTGAAAAACATGGGCTTTTTTATACCATCTCTTAACATTAAAATTTTTTAAATATATATATATATTTTGCCTACTCTGCGGTGCTCTTTCTGTTTCAGTCCTGAGCCAGTACGTTAGCTGGTTATCTTTAGCTAGCTGACCGGACACCAGGCTGACCACAGCCTCACCATGGCCCGGAATTTGTGGCTGGTGTGTGGGTGAAACTCAAATGATGGCTGAAAAAATGACAAATGGTATTTAGCTTAAGAAGAGCAGAGATTGATTTAAACGTAACTTTTTATTTAAAAGCCAGATCTGCTGCTTTGGGTTCCACTTACAAATGTTCCCAAATTTGGAAGTGAGTATAGATGAGTGTTCAAGATAGAATTCTTGCTGGCTCCAGGACACAGTGTATTTTGGGTGCTGAAAGTGGTAGCAGCCCACGGGTGTGTGTACTGCCTCCAGTTGCAGACTGTGTGGTTACTTCTAAAGAGCCCCTGTTGGGTTGGTTAGACCTCGGGACTCCCCAGTATTTCTTCAGTATTATTTCTCATTTTATCTTTCAAGCTTCTTGTAAAAGATTTGACATTTGCATTACACTTGCAGAATTTGAACTCACACAAGAAATCATTTCGGTCAGTTCTTTCTAAGCAGATGTTTCTGTTAAATTTTTTAAATTAGGACACTTTGCTTTAGCTGTTGTGAAAAATGCATAAAAATAGTCTAAAGAAAGGAAATCCAGTACTAAAGAAGTAGAAACAAACCAAATAAGAGATAGGCGTGCTGCCTAATTAACTTTAGTCTAATTTTAGTTGATGCTTAGCAGAGCCTGGGTGCCAGACCCAAGTGAGTACTAGCTGCTTTGTTATCTGACCAGTAACAGTGGGGGGGCAACTGTGAATCACGCTCACACAGCCCTTGTCTGTGAGTGCTGCCCACAAATGTCACCCTTGCATTCCTTTTCCTTCCTCTTAATCTGTCCATCTCTAGGGATGGTCTCAGCCTGGACCTCAGTCCTGGCCCCAGCCCCAGTCTGAGCTCTGCTTCTTTTCCTGGCCTTGATCTTAGTCTAGGATCTTCTCCCCTAAATACTCCTACCAACTTCTTAATCCCTTTCTGGGCTTATGAATGTCTGTGCATTCATATGGAGGAATGAAATGAGATATGACAGAGAGAGACAGTCTTGGCTTGTCTAATATGTTTATTTTTAAAAGAGTGAAAGAGAGACATGGGTCACCTCCCTCCTTCTCTGTGGTGAATCCAGACGCTGCTGTTCATGTGGGGCTACGCTAGATTCTCTACTGGCTGAATAATTCAAACAGGGACCCTCCTTCTGAGACTCAGATTCAAATTGATGGTGTGTAAGCATCATAGTGGAAAGAATACTGAACTTAAATTCCTACCTGCATTGCAATCCTAGCTCTTCATCTGTTAGCTCTGTAACTACTCGATGAAGCTGTTTTCTGCTCTTCAGGAGTGGGAGTATGAAACCCACCCTTCCAAGCTCACCATGCTGAGCAAAACCAGGAAGTGCTCTGAGCACCACAGAGTGTTCTATAATGGAAGCTATCCCTATGTAGACAATGAGTAAACCCAGAAGAAGGAAAAACAGCAGTTGAGATTTAATCATCTCAAAGCTTATGCTAATAACCAAGAGAGGCTCCTGAAATTTTATAGTTACACAGAGTTAGGTTGGAGAATATTTTTATATCTTTCTTTATAGAACCCAGAAGGCTAACCCTGTGACAGGAAGAATGGGAAAGATACAGCTTCCAGCAAAAAAAAAAAAAAGAAAAAAGATTATACTTGAGCTTAACAAAAGATAGTAATGCAACTAAAATGACTATTTTAGTTGAACCAACTAACCTTGAACCTTGAACCAACATTGAACCTTCTTGGACAGGGGGTAAAAATGTGTCATTTGAGTGACATCGTCAGTTTGAATAAAGTTCAGACCCCATTTCACAAAACATACAACAGGGTGATTCAATATCCAGCATAGTGCTTGGCACAAAGCCATCCCCTTAGATGGAAACGGGGAGGGAAGAAGACAGAGGAAAGGTGAGAAGAAGGACAGCAGCAAAGAAGAAAGGTTTGTACTATGATCTTTATGAAATGTAAATCAGAACATGTCATTTGACTGAAATCTTTGAGGGCCATCTCATGATACCTAGAATAAAATCCAAACTCCTTGCTCTAGTTTTCAAGGCCCTCCATGTTCAGGCCCCTTCTCACCCTCTGGCCTCATTTCTTACCCCTCGTCCCATGTAAATGTCATGCTCAGTCACACTTAGTTGTTTTCTAACACAGGGTTCCTCAGCCCTTAGCACCATTGACATTTGGGGCTGGACAGTTCTTTGCTGTGGGGACTGTCCTGTGCATTGTAGGATGTAGGGTCACAGGACTGCAGCATTAGGAACCACTGCCAGGCCCATTTCTCTTTCGGGATTTAGCCATTTCCTCTGCTTAGATGCTCTTCCTCTGGCTGGCTTTTCTTGTCATTCGGCTCTCAGCTGAAAGGTCAGTCTTAGAAAGGCCTCTTAGAAAGTCACTCTTAGAAAGGCCTAGTGTAGAATAGCCACATGGTCACTCCTTTTAAAAATAGCTATCTGGCACTGTTACTGTCTAGTGTTAAGTGTGTGTGTGCATGCGTGCATGTGTGAGATCTGCCTTTCCCCGGCAGGACATCTGCTTCACGAGAGCAGGAAACCAGTCTGCTTTCTCATTGCTCTGTGCCAATGCCTAGAATAGTGCCTGGCGCATAGTGCAAGCTCCAGCAAATGTCACTGAGTGAGTAAATGAATGGCTATTGCCATTACGGTCCATGGACCAGTGGAAATGTATGACGCCACCAGCAATCAGTTCCATGCAAGCAGGCGTGGGGGCTCTGGGCAGCGCTAATGCTTAGACACTAAGAAGTTGTGAACATCTTTGGTAAGTGCTTGGTTGGTTGGCTGGTTGGTTTTTGAGGCAAGAAATGGAAGCCACATCAGAGATTGTGAGAGAAAAGCTGATTATGCTTCCAGAAATCACCAAGTGGGAATTAAAGCTGAGGAGGAAGACGGAGGTCAAGTGAATCCCATATTACTTGGTCAAGAATAGTTGTCACATCTGTCACCACACTGGCCACCAGGCTTGAGCTGGCCGATCTGCCAGCTGGGTCTCACTGTCCTCCCTCTCCTCCTGCTGCCGCCTGAGCAGATGTGCGATCTTCCCAGGTAAAAGACGTATTTACTCACAGATGCATACGTAGCTCCATTGCCTACTACTGCTCAGTGTTCATTTTACTTGTTATAAACCCTTTCATAAAAATTTTAAGACATTAATTGGTTTAAACTCAGAACATTTTAAAGACCTTTGGGTTTTATAATTTTTCATATAATGGTGCCATATGGAAAGACTGATAGCCTCCTAAATTGTCCATAATAATTATAGATAGGGCTTCAGGAAGCTGAGGTCTTCCTATAGTTGTTCTTTATCATGTGATAATCAGCAATTATTGGGAATATCAATTGCATTTGGGAGGACAGTGTTTTGACTTCTATAATCTATAATGAGTCATTAAATCCTTAAGTCGAGTTTCAGATATTCTGGTCAACATGCTAAAAAAGGAAAAGAAGAAAGCTCAGGATGCTCTCCACTTATCCAGCATGGATAGAAGTGAATTCAGACACTCCCAGAACTCACCCTTCCCACCTGGGAACCCAGAAGAAGGTCAGAGACTGTTGCTGTCCTCAGCTCCCACACAAGCCCAGGACTTCAGCACATCGGGGTGCAGATCCAGCTTGCTCTACAGAAAAACAGGTCAGTTGCCTAAATTTCCAGTAGCCCTCGTTGTAATGAATTTCCATGTAGCACACTTCAGTTTCAGATGTGCAAGGATGAAGGCTCTAATAGTTCATTTGTTAGAATTATTTTTTTTAACTACCAAATCTCTTAAATGTGCATTTCCCAAATTGATGACTGAACCGAGAAGAACCACGGATGAATTTTCACAGAGTTTAGAGGCAGAAATAGATGGGTCAAGGCAACAGTAGAAAAGTTAACTTTACAGAAAGGCAGTAGAAACTGTTGTCTTACCGTCTGGTGTAAGAGGGAAATAATAAGGTCAGATGTCACATTACGGATGTGATGACGCAATGTTTATTTCTTAATCCAAATGAGCTATCTGCAGCAAAATCACTTAAAAATATTATCACAGCCTTAAAGGACTGATAGTAAATCAACAACACTTTGTCAGATAATATAATTTGACAGGGTTGGGCCAATTCAGAGGTTCCTTTCCTATTTCTAGTGTATGTTTCTCTTTCTGTTAGACCGGCAGCGTGTCATGTACAGTCATGAGACTGATGCCTTTTCCTTGAAAACACCGAGAAATCTGAAGTGTTAGATGTACTAGAATAAATGAGTGAAGAGTTTCCCTTTTTGGCAACATAAGTTGAAATTTTCTATATAAACATTTGTTGGGATGAACTACCTGACGTGCATGGTTTTCTGAAGGACTTAGCCTGAGAATAATTAATATGGCGCTCATTGATAAGCACATTTTTTAGTTAATAGAGACAGGATGAGAAACATGGAAATATGTTTGTGATATTATATTCATTTATCTCTTAATTCCAAATCTCTTGCTTTGACTATTTCTTCAGCAATACTATAGAATGCATTCAAAAATCTCAGGAACCCAAAATGGCTATTTTTATCATTTGTCATGGTGGCAGTAAACAGTGAAAATCAAGGGTTCCTCTCCGTGATTGTCTTCTATACAGCTTTTCCATACTCTATTATAAAAATATCTGGTTGGGAAAAAAAAGGATGCCTTCTGGATTGGAAAAAATTCATTAGTTTATGCATCCATTTATTCATTCATCGTTCATTTGACATATATTTCTTGAGCACACTCTTTGTTCTAGGCACGGTGCTAATGACTTGTGTAGCCTGTAGCACTGGGTGCTTTTCTAAATTCTCTGCTTGAATTAACTCATGTATTCTTAATCCTGTAAGTTTTTGTTTTACTCCCATATTACAGATGAAGACATAGATGGACAGACACACCCTGTGACCTCACAGTACTTACAGACCGACAGAAAAGAGAGCCACTGAACAATTGATTGTGAAAGTATACCTCTGTATTGCTGAGGCAGCACATACCAGGAACTTTAAATTCTATTAAGCCCAGAAAGATTCAGAAAGAGGAGTGAGGGTAGGAGTGTGGCTAGAAGGAATATCTCAAGCAAAGAGAATCAGTGGCTTGAAGAGCTTTCCAGGTCTTTGTGGTAGAAAGGAGCATTTCAGGAAGTGAAAAAGCCAGGTATGGCTGGCATCTAGGAGTGAGAGGCTGGAGAGACAGGTTGATTGACAGGCACAAAGGGATTAGCAGAGGACACTAAGACTGCATGACCAGTCAGGAGATCATTGCGGTACTCCAGGCCAAAGGATGGGGATGATGAGGGAGAGGTGGGGAGCAGAAGCATTTACAGGGTCCAGTGGCCAGGATCAGTGGCTGACTGGTTGTGGGGGCGAGGATGAGGATTGGCTCGCAGGTCTCTGGGTGGCCGGTGAGGCCCTTCTTGGAGATAAGGAACAGTGAGTGCCTCCCTGGCCCCACAGTCCCCCTGGCTGGCATTGTTTGCTGTAGAGAACACAGTGTCGGCATCTCTGCTGAAATGAAAGGTCACAGTCGGTACCCACGGTAGAACCCCATGGCTCCTGATGGAGGGACCTGTTTGCTGGCCTGTTCCAAAGACATCGGTGCAGCAATGGCCTCAGATACCGCTGCCCAGTCCCTTCTTGCATGCCAGACCTCTTCTATTTCTGCTTCTTCTGGCCCACACCGTCTCGCGTCTCATAATTCTTCTTCCCTACCGCATCTCATAATCTCTCTCCTCCCTTATAATTATAGTCAGATTTTTCAGTAACTCTTTTCCTCCCTTGATACTGTTATTGGGACAGACTATAGTTTTGTTTGGAGAATAAATTAAGTTTACTTGAATAGAAAATCACTGAAAAAATAATGGAAATTGTTTGTAAAGTCCAAGTACAAAATGAGGTAAAAGTTTTGGAGCAGAGCCTTATATTTGAAAGGATTTTTGAGTTGTTTTAACTGTCTTTGGATGTATTTCTAGCAATAACTTTAAATAGGAGCAGGCTCACAAGTAGACTGATAATGATCTAACCATTTGGGGCAGGGACTGATGGGGGATTGATTTTATTTTTGGGCAAAACTACAAATAGGATGGAAATTGCTGTGGGTGAATCAATGCAGCACAACAGGTAATGGGATAGTTCACTATAATATTTAAGATTCAAGGAATTGATTAGGCTTTTATTATTGCATTATTTTATATACAAGAAGCTTGTGTAAACTAAGCCAAATACAAAAAGTTAATAAGCTTAGTGTTTTGAAAGTATTTCTGCCTTACGTAGGTGTTGTCAGTTTCTATTAACCATCTCGGGGGCTGTTTCTAACTCAGAAAGCAAGTGAATCTGACTGTCTCTGAGACTTTGATGAAACTGTCTCCCCTCATGATCCCACTCCCCTTCTTCCACTCACCTTCACTTTATGCCGAAAGTAAGTCCCTTCAAATTAGAAAATGACACCAAATTCCTGGTTCACCAGAGAGCCCTGGAGGGTCACTGTGCAAGTAGTCTGCCAAGGCAGAGGAGGGTTAGGGGCTTCGGGTTGCTGTTTTGGAGCTTAGATGTCTGTTTTGGTTTCATGCAAATAATGAGAGGTATTGTTCTGCTCCACGGTTTGAAAAGAGTCATATTGTTCTCTTTAAAATAGGAGGAGTGTTAAGGTTAGGTTGGTTTTTTTTCCCCCCTTTCTTCTTTCTGTTTGAGTTCTCTGAGTTCCAAATAGTCACCTGACTGAAAACCAGTCAGTATTCCAAAAGCCATGATGACTCACCACATCCTTTAACTCTTGGAGATGCTGAGGGAACTCATCTATCTATCACAGGTGATGCCACTGGCTTCTTAAAAGGTGAATTGAAAGCCCAAGCTGTAGCCTGGAGGCTCCAGCCCCTCTTTTCCCTTTCAATCCCTGAGAATTTGTTGAATCCCCACAGATGTGCATGGAAGGACCCAGGGTGCATGTTGCAGGCAGTACCAAGATGCACTGAGAAATGGTCTCTGGCTTGGGAAGCTTACATTTATATAGTAGAGGCTGGTTTTATACCCAAAAAGCAGAGAATAATGTAACAAGTGCTTTTGCAGGAGCTGGAAGAAATGCTGTGGGAAATCAGAGAAGGGGAGAACTTTAATAAGAATCATGTGAACATCATTCTTATTTCTTACTTCTTTTACTCAATATCTTGCACAGCATAGTGGATATGATAGATAATAATGTACATTTTTAAACTGATAAGAGAGGAAATTTCAAATGTTCTCACCACAAGAAAAATAAGTACTTGAGGCAATGGATATGCTAATTAGCTTTATTTGATTATTTTACATTGTCTTCATAAATCATGACATCACTTTGTACCTCATAAATATATACAACTATAATCTGTCGATTTACAATTTAAAAAACAAAAATTTTTAAAAGAATAATATGAGCAAAGGCTTGGGGACAAGGGAGCCAAGGAAAATCATGTAGAGTTGACAGAGATGTTTGTTTAGCTGGGACCTTGGAGGCATACAGGAAGCCCGAAGAAATAAGGCTAGAAAAATAAGTGGGAAATCACTAGGATGGTTGCTTCAGGGAGAGGCAGAAGAGGAATACATAGGAAGTTCCCCTGTTAACTTTGTATGCTTTCATATTGTTTTAATTTCCTACATTTCTCTATTGAAGAGATGGGGCCATGTATGCTATGGAAATCCTTGAATGCCAAGCCAGGGAATTTTGTTCATTTGGTTATAAGGGAACTGCAAAGCAGAAGGGGCTATGGTGATAGCTGTGCTCTGGGGAGGTATTTTTCAAACAACCCTTTAGGGAATATTGGAGGTGAGGTTCCTAGAGACTATGTAAATGGTTCAGGAAATACAGTAGGCCGGTGTAGGTGTAATGGGAGCAGAGAAGAGAAGAGGAGCATGAAGAGGAAGTGTGGGGGAGCCCACAGCAGGTCTTTATGTGATAAAGGAAGACTGTTTCTTTGCTCTCTTCCCACTTTCCAGGTGCTCCTGGCACTTAGATTCTAATGATGCAGCTGTAGACACAGGCAGCAGAACAGGGGAGCTGGTGCTTCCATGGGATGCTGCTTCAAATCTTAAGTCAGTTCCTGGAGTTTGTTTTACTGTTGTTCAAGGGGTGCTCTCAAGACCAAAAGCTACTGCTTGTAAAGGCTTAGTGTACCCAATCTTCCACTAAGTTAAAAAGAAAAGCTCAAGGAGAAGTCAATGGAGGCAAAACTTGCTCACAAACAACCATAGAGAAAGGGTAAAGGTCACATTATTTCTAAGGCTCTTTCCAGCTTGCTTTCTTGTAGGCCTCAGGCACAACACACCAACCTCGCTTTTCACATCTCTCATGATCCTTTTCACCTTCCCTTTTAGAACCGACTACGCTTTCATCTTTGCATTTCCCCGTAAGTGCAATTAAAGAAACAGTCAGTAAATGGACCATTGCCTTCTCTATAGCTGTGTGGCCAATAGCACTTCGGCAGAACACGGCACTGACCCTCACCCTAACCCTAGTCAAGGGCTATTCTAAGTCCTGCCTCGGAGGAATGCATCTCTGCATCTTCTATTTGAAGTGTCTATAGATTAGATGAAATGTATAATTTACACCTGAGAAAAGGGCTTGGGAGGAGGAGGAGGGGGTGGCACGTGCCAGAGTGAGCCAGTGCACAGATCTCTGC